ACCCCCAGGGGGCGGGGTTTCTGCCCCCCCCCGCCGCCGCCGCCGCCGCCGCCACCTCCTGGGTCAGTCATTCTCAGGAGACCCGCAGGTCCCCATCCCCAGGACCCCATCTGCCCCTCTCCCGGCCCGATTTAGAACCCCAGAGCACAGGTCTTAAAGCTCCACGCCTCGGTTCCCTTCTGATAGAGGCTTTCTTCCCAGGGCAGACAGCAAGAGGGCAGAGGGACAGGATCGGAGCTTCAGCAAGAACCTGAGGTTAGTCTTCACCCCTCACCCCCTACCCAAAGCAGCGTGGGGAAGGGACCTCAAGGTCAGGCCCTGACGGCTGCAAGGTTGGAAAGGTCTAGATCCTTGGACTCAGTTTTGAGCCACACACCCTTCTCTGTCCAGGGCTGTGGTTTCCGTACTCGGTTCGTGGCTTCGAGACCACCCGCAGGACTTCCGGGATCCCCCTGCCCATCAGAACCTGGGCAGTGTCCGAATCTTTCTGGGCTGGGCAGCCCCAGGAGGGTCAGAAGCCAGGGAAGCAGAGAAACTTCTAGAGGATTTCTTGGAGGAGGCAGAGGAGGAGCAGCGACTGCCTTGGGCAGGTAAGGGACATTTAGTGCTGGTAATATTCTGAGACTGCTGCCCCTCTCAAAATGACAGACCCTGAACACATTTTATTTGTTTATTTTAGTTTTGGAAATGAACTCAGACCTTTTTGCATACTAGCCAGACTCTGTACCACTGAATCACATACATCCCCAGCTCCTGGAAAAGCTTGCTTGCTTCCTTCCTTCCTTAATGTATGTGTGGTGTATGCATGTGTTCATGTGTGTGTGTGCACATGTACATATCTTCACATGAATTGAGGCCAGAGGACAATGCTAGGTGTTTACCTCTGTTGCTGTTAGAAACAAGGTCTCTTACTGAACCTGGAGCTCACCCATTTGGCTAAATTGACTTGCCTTTGAAGCCCAAGGTTCCTCCTGTCTCTGCCTCCTCAGAGCTGGGTTTGTGGGTGCTGGAGATCTGACCTCATCCTCTCACACTTGCACAGGCAAACATGTTACTCCCTGAGCCATTTCTCCAGCCCCATGGGCAAGACTTTTAAACTAAATAAGCCTTATTTTCTCTACTTGATCACAAGTCTTTATTAAAAGTATTGGCCTAATGTCCTCCTGCACCCCAAGATCCTCTGTTCTCTGGCTTGGGATGTCTCTCAGTGGCTGAGTGCTTGCCCAGCCAAAACAGCAGCCTGGGTTCAAGTCCCAGGCTAGCCATTTACTGATTGTGTGACCTTGGTTAGATCTCTTCACCTCTCTGAGACTCAGTTTCCTTATGTGCAAAATGGGAATGATAACAGTGATCACCTCATGGAATTTTCCATTTAGCACATGTTGAAACACTAGCTCTGGTCACATAATGGTGGACTAGGGTTTCCACTCTCCTGGGAAGGACATCCAACACACAGAAAATTGGTAAGCAGTAAGGGTTGGACAAGTGTCTTGGTATTTTGTTTAATTTGTACTTATTGTATGTGAGAGAGACACGTATCTGGGTTCTTGCATGCCATAGAGTGCATCACTTCTTTGGAGTCTGTTCTACCATTATATAGGTTCTGCGTTTTTAATGGCTGGGCTATCTCACTAACGATATTAATGTGTTGCTTTTATTTTTCAAGACAGGATGTCAGGTAGCATAGTCTAGCCTCAATAGATAGCCAAGGACAATCTTGAACTTCTGATCTTCCTGCCTTTATCTCCCCAGTGCTGGGATTACAAATATGTGCCACCATACCTGGTATTATTTGTGTTACTATTGCAGTCTTTTTGTTTTTTAATTAATTAATTTGTTTGTTTATAACTTTGTGTGTTTGAGTGCTTTTCCTGCATTAAGTGAACCATGTCCATGTAGTGGAAGTCAAGAACATCTGATGCCCTGGAAAGGAATTACAGACAATTGTGACTGTAATTTTGTTTTAGTTTTTCAGATAGGATCTTGTTATATACCCTGTGCAGCCACATCTCTAAGTAGCAGAGGATGGCCTTGAACAGATATGTGGTTTATGCAGAGGAAGGGATTGACTTCAGGACTTTCTCAGAACTCCACCCACTGAGATTCATGCCCCCAGTTTCTTCCTCAGACTGTTGGAATTGAGTGTGTGCACCACCAGCCTAGTAATAGTGTGCGTTTCCTTGCTTTGGTGTTTGTTTTTCAAAACAGGGTTTCTCTGTGCAGCCCTGGCTGTCCTAGAACTCACTCTGTAGACCAGGCTGTCTCTGCCTCCCTAGTGTATACCCCCGCCCCCGGATGTTTACTGTTTTTGTTTGCTTTGTTTTGTTTTTAATCTTTCTTTCTTTCTTTATTCATTTATTTATGGTGCCAGGGAATGGAACTTAGCCATATACAATTGAAGCAATTTTCCCACTTTTGAATTTTCCCAATTGAATTGAATTCCCAACTTTTTAGAGTCTACCAGGTGCCGTGGAGTGTATGCCAAAACACCATATTGACATCTTATTATGAGTAACACTACAGAAAAATTTGTGAGCTGAAAGCTAGCCTGTTCTACACAGTGAGCTCCAGGTCACTCGGGCTACATGGTGAGACCCTGTCTAGAAACAAAGTTGAGGATAGAGAAAAAAAATTACAAATCTCACTCAGGTCTTGTTGAAATGTCACTTCTGGGACTGGTGAGAGGGCTCAACAGATAAAGGGGCTTGCAGACAGTCCTGACAGCCTGAGTTTGATCTCTGAAACTCATGTAATGGAAGCAGGTTCCTGAAAATTGCATACACACAATAGATGAGTGTAGTTTTATTTATTTATGTGTTCATTTATTTATTTTCATTTTATTTATTTATTGGTGGTGGAGCACACTATGGCCTACATGCTAATAAGTCATCTCAGTGAATATAAATGAAATTTTGACTTTTGTTGTTTGGGGTATTTATTTATTTATTTATTTTGGGTTTTCGGGACAGGGTTTCTCTGTGGCTTTGGAGGCTGCCCTGGAACTAGCTCTTGTAGATCAGGCTGGTCTCGAACTCACAGAGATCCGCCTGCCTCTGCCTCCCGGAGTGCTGGGATTAAAGGTGTGTACCACCACCGCCCGGTGGGGTTTTTATTTTTTTATAATTCATTTATGCTTTTAAATTTCATTTTACACTCCAACCACAGTTCTCCTTACCACCCCTGGGAATATCTCACTGTGTAGCCCAGGCTGGTCTGGAATTTGGTATGTATGTAGCCCAAGCCGGTCTTGAACTCATAGAGAACCTCCTGCCTCTGCTTCCTGAGTGCTAGGATTAAAGGCACCAAACATGAAAGAAAGGAATGTCACTTCTCTTCAGGGTGATTCTCTGGCCCCGAGCCTCTGAGGCTGCCTTATTTTTCCGAACAATATTTGTGATTGATTCCTGGCTTCCTTCCCTATATCCTGTGTGTAGAAGAACAGAGGATCCTATTGGCTCTGTTCCCACAAGCAGGAACAATGGGGATTAGCTAACTGAATAATTGCACTCTGCTTATACAGAATCATCTTGATGTCCTGTTTGATCTCATCTGATTCTGTGTCCCTAATCTTTATCCTTTAATCCCTCAGCCCCCGAGCTGAAGTGGCCACCCTCGCTTCTGCAGAGTATAGCAGCTACTTGACTATGCCTATGTATTTTTCCCTGCTTGATTACCAAGAAGTTTCCTCTCCTACCTTCAAGTTTTAAATCTTTTACTACATTTGTTTTATTTATTCTGTGGTGGTGGAGTAAGGGGGGGGGGAGCCAGTTCTCTCCCTCGGCCATGTGGCTCATAGGGACGGAACTCAGGTTGTCAGGCTTTCGGGATGGTGTCTTCACCAGGTGAGCCACCTCTCTGAGCCCCTGATAAGAACTTTCTTTTGTGTGTGTGTGTGTGTGTGTGTGTGTGTGTGGCTAGGATTGACCTAGGGCCTCACACTTGTCTTCTGCCATTGAACCACAACAAGAATTGGGATTTGGGGCTTGGTTTTCTGGGGTTTGTCTTTTTTTTTTTTTTTTTTTTTTTTTTTTTTTGAGATAGGGCAGAGATGTATGTCTGAACCCACTATGGAGTTTCTGCTGACCTCAGATTCCTAATCTTGCTCTCCTGGGAAACAGGTATTCACCACCACATTTAGATAGAACCAGAGGCTGTATTTTCATTTTTTTAATATTTTTTAAAGTTTATTTTTAATTATACACATGTGGGGGATGATGAACACAAGAGCAAGTGCCTGTGAAAACCAGAAGTTTTGGATCCCTCGGAGCTGGAGTAACAAGCAGTTGTGAGATGTCTGATGTAGGGGCTTGGAACGAAGCTCCAGTCTTCTGGAGTAATAGTATATGCTCTTAAACACTGAGCCATCTCTCCAGCCCTCTGTTTTCATTTTATTTCATTTTGACATTTATTAAATTATTTTTGTTTATGGAGCATATCATGTCACAGTGTGTGTGTGTGTGTGTGTGTGTGTGTGTGTGTGTGTGTGTGTGTGTGTGTGTGTGTGTGTGTGTGTGTGTGTGTGTGTGTGTGTGTGTGTGTAGATCTGAAGACAACTTGCACGAGTTGCTTCTCTCTTTCCATTATGTGACATCAGATTCAGGTCTTCACCTTTGGCAGCAATCTCTTTTATCCACCAAGCCATCTCACTAACACCATACAGCTACCACCCCACCTTGAGACAGGTCTCACTCTGTAGCCCAAGCTAGCCCGAAGCTATGCAGCTGAGGCTGGCTTCAAACTCATGGCAATCCTCCTGCCAAATGCCCTCCCCACCAATGTCATCAATCAGAGGCAAGGAAAGAGAGATATTACAGAATAAAGAAAACTTAAGAACACAGTCAGGTGTGGTGGCATGATCTTGTGATCCCAGCTTGAGGTAGAAGGATGGCCAGCCTAGGTGGTGTAGAAAGCCACCTCAAAGCAAAACAACACCAACAACAAAACCACTCAGAGCGGGCTATTGAGATGGCTCCACAGAAAAGCCCTTACTGCCACACTTGGCCACTTGAGTTAGAGTCTTGGAACCTTCAGGGTAGAAGGAGAGAACCAACTCACATTGTCCTCTGACCCCCATACATGGCACTGCAGATCCATAAACACATAAAATTAAGTACATGAATAAATGTAAACACAAACAAAATACTCAGGGTGTTCACAGGTGAGGAAGGTCACACAGACAGTCTAGACTCCTGTGGGGTTCATGAGTCAGGCTTGCTGAGCAAGTGCCACACAGCCACATGATCCAGCCCAAATTTGAAACTTTGTGTGTGTGTATGTGTGTGTGTATGTGTGTGCGTGTGTTTCTTTGTTTTGTTTTGAGACAATGCCTCACTATGTAGTCCCGGAGAGCCTAGAACTCCAAGAATTCCACTTGGCCTCTGCCTCCCAACTGCTGGGATCAAAGGCTGGCCACAACAGGCCTGATCAAATTTGAGACATCTTTCTTTCTTCCACACCCTCTCTCTCTCCATTTACTTTTATTTTGTGTGTAATATGTATATGGGATTTTGGCCTGTGTATGTGCCAGTGCCTTATCATGTGTGTGCATGATGGCCACAGGGGCACCCTGTAGATCCAGTAGGCCCCCGGAGACTGGAGACCCAGACAGCTGTGGGTGCTATGAGCTCTTTACTATAGAGTAATCCTCTCAGCCCATAGGTGAGTTTTAAACATCCTGTCTATTCCCCAGGCCCTCCCAGGGTGGCCCAGTCCCCCAGATCAGAGTTTGTAGAGGACTTCGAGGAAGAGGAAGGCCACAGTTCAGAAGGCCCAGAGCTCCTGGATTTCAGTGTGGATGAGGTGGCAGAGCAGCTGACCCTTATGGACGTGGTGGGGACCCCAGCCATTGGCAAGGTGGGAGGGTAGGGGGGGTGTACGATGAGCACCCATCACACCCTCCTCTCCTCTACGTAGGAGCTCTTCTTGCGCGTGCGGATCTGCGAGTGTCTGGGTTCTATGTGGTCTCAGCGTGACAAGCCGGGAGCTGCAGGCATTTCCCCTACAGTTCGTGCCACAGTGGCCCAGTTCAATGCGGTTACCAGCTGTGTGCTGGGCTCAGTGCTCGCAGCACCGGGTCTGGCAGCCTCGCAGAGGGCACAGCGCATCGAAAAGTGGATCCGCATTGCCCAGGTGTGCGGTGGGGATGGGGCTCGGGTGGGGTTCGGCAGCCGGCCTAGGTGAGATGGGGAGAGTAGCTCGGGATTGTGGGCAATCAGCTTGGTGAGGCTGAGGATTGGAGACTGGAAATGGATGTGATAAATGTACAGAACTGAGTGGGGGACCGGAGAAGAGGGAAAGGATTATGGGGTGCATGGAGGAGCGGAGGAAAGATCCTGTGTCAAGAGGAGAGGCTGTGGGCAGTGTAGGAACTGAGGAACTGGAGAGGAGTAAGTAGAGATGAATGGGAGAGCCCGGCTCCAGGGGGGCTTGAGAACTGAAGGAGGGAGCAAGAAAGAGGCTTCTTGGAGAAAAGGGAGCATGTCGGTTTATATGCTTAGTCACTTGACAGGAGTCTGACCTAGTATCAGAACCCAACCTCAAGCCTGGTGTAGGGACACATGTCTGTAACCCCAGCATTGGGGAGGTGGAGGCAGAAAGATCAGCCTCTGCTCTGTAACCAGACCTTGGCTTTAAAAACACACCAAGACATGGTTATCATGAGCTATTGCCTGGGAGACAGACGGGGAGTGTGGCCGTTGACTAGAGGCAAACCCTTCTTCCAGCGCTGCAGGGAGCTTCGCAATTTCTCTTCTTTGCGAGCTATCCTGTCTGCCCTGCAGTCTAACCCCATCTACAGGCTCAAGCGCAGCTGGGGAGCCGTGAGCCGGTGAGTTAGATGCCCTATGCAGTCAACCCCATCGTGGCTCTGACTGTGCCCTTTGCAGACCCTAAACATGCCTTTCTCACCCCCACAGGGAACCACTGTCCACTTTCAGGAAACTGTCACAGATTTTTTCTGATGAGAATAATCACCTCAGCTGTCGAGTAATCCTTTCCCAGGTATTGGGTACCCCAAATTCAAGAAATTGTCGTGGTTCATGCTTGTAACCCCAACACTTGGAAGGCTGAGGCAGGAGGAACACTGAGTTAGAGGTCATCCTGGTCTACACAGCAAGTTGCAGGCTAGCCAGGGCTACATAACAAGACCAGCCTGAACTGTGTGAGATTCTGTCTCAAAATATCCAAAGAGTATGGAGACGGGGAGGTGGCCCATTCTGCAAAGTGTTTTCTGCACAGGCGTGAGCCTCCAAGCTCCGAAGCCAGAAGCCTCATAGAAGCTGGATGGGAGACCTCTGTAATCCCAGCACTGAGGGAGGCAGAGACTGATGGACAGGAGCACTAGACAAAAGCATCGAGCTCCAGGTTAAGAGAGGGACCCTAGCTCAAAAAATACAAAGGAGACTAATATAGGAAATACTTGATATTCAGGGGTTTTTATTTTACTTTATGTGTATGAGTGTTAGTCTCTATGTATTTGTGTATACTGTGTACATGCATGGTGCCTACAGAGATCAAAAGAGGGCATCAGATTCCCTAGACCTGGAATCATGACTGTGGTTGCTGGGAACTGAACTCAGGACCTATAGAAGAGCAGCCAGCGCTCTTAACTTCTGAGCTATCTCTGCAGTTCCAGGATACTTGGTGTTGACCTGGCCACACACACACACACACACACACACAAAAAAAAAAAAAAAAAAAAAAAAAAAAAGGGGGGGGGGCTAGAAATTAGGCTTAGCCACATACATGAAGCCCATGTAAGTCAGGCATGGAGGTGCAGTCTCTCATCCCAGCACTTGTGAGGTGGAGGACATGTTGTTCAAGGACATCTTTGGCTACAAGGCTGTCCTGAACTCCAACAGACCTTGTCTCAAAACAAAACAAAAAAGAAATAAAATTTTAAAAATCAGAGCCTAGTGGCACACACTTTAATCCCAGCACTTGGGAGATTCAGGCAGATAGAACTCTGTTCTATTTGGAAGTTCCAGGACAGGCAGGGCTAAGGGGACTTGGAGCCAATCTCAGGGAAGCATTTATTCTCAAAACATCCTCTCCTTTGTTGATCTTGTGCAAAGCTGGTCCAATGCTTCCTTCCCCAGCCTGCTTTCCCTTTCACTCATATCCAACATCAGCAAAATGCAAGATCAGAGGAAAGCGTTATCTAAGGCCAAGGGAGGCAGCCAAGTCATAGCCACGGGGGGTGAGGGGGGTGGCGGGGGAGGAACCATGTGTAGGCATTTACCTTGATAGACAGGGTTTTCAAATGTGGGCTAATACATCTGACTTATTGATGCAGGAGTAAGGTTCTGATTAGAATTGGGCGTTTGTCCTCAGTGTGAATTCTGTGTTGATGAACATGCAGCCTGATTCCTGGGCCTAGAATACTCTATACCTCCCCCAAGATAGGTCTGTGCCATGCCCACTCACCTCCTTCAGGTCTCTTCCAAATATCTCCACCTTCAAGGGGCCCCTCCCCCATCATCTGCACACTCCCCTTACCCACCTGATGGCCCTTGTTTCTGCCTTATTCATTATGAGATGTCTTGGCTGGCCCATCTTTCTTTCACTAGTAGCCAGACATTTTATCTCATTCGGTCACCCCTGGCTAGTTATTACCCAAAACAGCACATGACAACACAGTGGATATCAATAAATACCGTGCAGAGCTAGAGCTGGGTTCAGTTGGTAGAGGCTTGCATAACATGGTGAAACCCTGGGTTCCATCTCCAGCACTGTATAAAACAGGTGAAGCTGTACACACCTGTCATCCCAGCACTCAGGAGGTAGAGGCAGGAAGAACAGGAGTTCAAAGTCACTCTATGCTACAGAGAGACTTTGAGGCCAGACTGAGCTACATAGGACCCTGTCTCAAAAAAAAAAAATGAAATGAAAGAAAAGAAGAGAAGAAAAAGAAAAAATAGCTTATTAACAACAGGTAAGCAAGGCAGGTAGCTCACAGCTATAAGCGTAGAATTCAGGAATAAGACAGGAGGATCACGAGTTTGCAACCAGCCTGGTCTCTATGGTGAGACCTTATCTCAAAACAAACACCAGGGGAACCAGAAGGATGCTCGAGACCACTTGGCACTGTTTGAGAGGACCCGAGTTTGATTCTAGTGTTCACTCAAAATGCTCACTACCGCCTATGACTAATCTCCAGAGAATCTGATGCCCTCTTCTGGCCTCCTGAGGCACTGCATACACACCTATATTCATGCACACAAAACAAGCAAACAAAACCAAAAAACCTTCTCAGTGAAGGTGTATCTCACAGGAAGAGGCCTCAAGGGACAAAAAGAAAACCTACTGGCTGGGCAGTGGTGGTGCACGCCTTTAATCCCAACACTCGGGAGGCAGAGGCAGGTGGATCTTTGTGAGTTTGAGACCATCCTGGTCTACAAGAGCTAGTTCCAGGACAGCCTCCAAAGCCACAGAGAAACCCTGTCTCGAGAAAAAAAAAACCTACTGTGTTCCAGGCATTGCTTCTGACTCACCGAGAACCAGCAAACCTACTGTGTGCCAGGCATTGTCCTGACCCACCAAGAACCAGATATATCCTGTTCCTGTCAGGCCCTCCAGCCCAAATGGGAACAGAACAGACCTTCTTGCTGTCTAAACTGTACTGTCTGAACAATGCACAGAGCAAGCTCAGGGTCTTTCCAGAGGTTCCCCAGTCAGTCTGTTCTAAGTAGACTGGAGACAAATAGTTTCTTCCCATCCACTCTGGGGACCTACCCCCTGCTCCAGTACTTCCCTGATTTGCAGCCTTTCATTGTCCCCAGGGTGACTCCACACCCTGTTTGTCATGAACAATTCATTTATGATGTTCTTTTGTTTTAAGACAGAGTCTCTTATAGGATAAGGATGCCTTAGAATGCCTGATCTTCCTGCCTCTTTCTGAAGTGCTGGGATGACAGGAACACACTGCCACAGCCAGTTTATGAACTACTTAGAGAGGAACCCAGCACTTCGGCTAAACTACAGCCCCAGGCCCGACTTGTGATTTTAAAAATGAACATTCCATTACACTTATTTCTGTGTGTATGTGTGTGGGAGGGTGCTCACACCACAAAGTCAGACTGGTTCTGTCCAGGTGGGTCCTGGAGTTCCCACTCAATTTGTCAGACTTGGTGGAAGGTCTCATTCCTTACTGAGCCATCTCACCAGCCCCCCCCCCAGCTTGTAGTTTTTGAAGGCAACATGAGTATAGGTGTGGGTCTCAAAGTTGTCTCTGTGAAAAGTGTCAAAGTAGGCCTCATATTCTTCAGTCTTTCCTTTCTTCTCAGGAGGAGACCACCGAGGGACCCCATGATGATGACTGCCTTCCCGGAAGTCTGCCATCAGTAAGTGATGTGGCTCAGGATGGGGACGCCAATGGCAAGGGGACTCTTGGAGTCAGTGGGCATGGAGTCAGTGATGCCAATGAGTAACTGAGGCTTTGGGGGTTGCAGAAACTGCCCCCAGGTCCTGTCCCCTACCTTGGCACCTTCCTCACAGACTTGGTTATGCTGGACACAGCCTTACCGGATATGCTGAAGGTTTGACCCCTTACCCTTGACTCCTGACCCCTGCTCTATTATCCCCAACACATGGGTCCTCCAGGTATCCACCTTTGATCCTTCCTTGTACCCATCCCCCCACAAACACACCATGGTGGCTCCCATCATCCTAGTTCTTGAGCTTGACTTTTAACCCTTGACCCTGGATGCTGTAGCTCAGGCCAGCTTTGCCTCCTCAGGGAAATCTCATCAACTTTGAGAAGAGGAGGAAGGTGAGTAGGTGGAGTAGGTGGGTACTTGGGTGGGTGGGATGCCCAAGGGTTCGAGGGAGGGTGGGGCAGGTTCTCAGAAGACACCTCCCCGATGCCCAAGGGTGGGAGGGAGGGTGGGGCAGGTTCTCAGAAGACACCTCCCCAGGAGTGGGAGATCCTGGCCCGAATCCAGCAGCTACAACATCGATGCCAGCTCTACAGCTTGAGTCCCCGGCCACCAATCTTGGCTGCCCTCCGAGCCCAGCGCCAGCTCAGTGAGGAACAGAGGTGACAACTCAACCAAGTCCAGATCACACACAGATCCTTCCCTTCCCTTCCCAGATCCCATCCTAAGGACAGCCCCACCCTCTTATCTGAAGGCCACCACCACCTACCTCCAACCCAGAATTTGGCCCCATCTTATACTCTGATTTCTACCCTTCATGTCCATTTAGTCATTCAACTTGAATGGCCCACCTGTTTTCCCTGTGGACTTCTGATCCCGTCATCCACATCCGTGGCCCTGATCATTAGCTCCTAATTGGTGCTAGCTTTAATGTTCATTTGACTGCCTTCCTCAATTAGCCCTATTGCTTCCTTTACTCTATCCAATCCATGACCTTAACTGTTGGTCCCCTGAGTTATCTGGCCCTGGACTTTAAAGTTGGCCCAGTTTGACTCTTTAATTCACACTGCAGTTTCTGTTTTGTTTTGCATTTGCAGTGCTAGTGCCTCACACATGTTAAGTCTGTGCTGTACCCCCCAGCCATGGCCCCAGCACCTCAATGGGGAATTCTAGGCAAGCACTCTATGTTTGAGCTATGCCCCTAGCTAATTTCACCCTGTAAGTGCTGTGTACCCCACTAGCCAAACAGTTCACCCCATCTGTAATGCACCCGATATCCCAGTGATTTCCATTTCTATCCTGACCTGGACACGAAACTCTAACCCTTCCTCTCTTCCAACCCATACTGATTCACAACTCATGCCAACTCTTTCCTCTTCATCCCTCATTCTGCTTCCTGTCCCCGTCACCTCTCGCACGATGAACCTCTCCAGCTACCGAGTCTCCCGTGTCATTGAGCCACCAGCTGCCTCCTGTCCCAGCTCCCCACGTATCCGGCGTCGAATCAGCCTCACAAAGCGTCTCAGTGCGTGAGTGTTGGGATGTGTGTGTGGGAGGGAGTCGTGTGGGTAGAGACTGGGGGATCCACTCCCAGAGCTGAGCCAACCCTTGTCCTCACCCTAGGAAGCTGTCCCGGGAGAAGAACTCATCCCCTGGTGGGAGTCCCGGGGATCCATCTTCACCAACCTCCAGGTGAGTATCCAGGGCAAAAGGGGCTAGAGACATCAGGACCAAAAGTCCAGCTGGCCACCCCACCTTGAATTCTGTGTTTTTGCCAGTGTATCTCCAGGGTCTCCCCCATCCAGTCCTAGAAACCGAGAACCTCCTCCTGGCAGTCCTCCAGCCTCCCCAGGGCCCCAGAGTCCCACCAACAAGGTACTATGATAATCTGTGGTTGTGTTGAAGACTGGGGCACCCAGGGTTCAGTGTGTGTGTGTGTGTGTGTGTGTGTGTGTGTGTTGCACATGTATATAGTACTGCAGGTATGTATCTCAGAGACTGGCTGGTCTCTGCTGTTTTGTCTGAGAGACTGTACACCTTCATGGCTGTATGAGCCATTGCCTACCATCTGGCTTCTCCTCAGTCTAACTTGGATTTCCACCCATCTGTAGGGCATGCCAGGTGTGATACCCACTACTGTTTTTCCTAATAAGCAGTACTCCACCCAAGTGTGGCAGTGCAGGCCTGTAATCCCAGCACTTGGATGATTGAGGAAGAGGACCAGAAGCTCAAAGCCATTCTTGTCTACATAATGACCCTGGGCCTCATGACATCATGTCTCAAAAACAACAATGACAACAACAAGTCAAACAAGCAAACAAAAAGTACTGGGATTGAACCTAGAACCTTACAAGTACTCTACCACTGAGTCGTCCCCCAGTCCCTCACTGAGGGATTCTAGGCAGGAGCTCTACCAATGAGCCACGCCCCAGCTCCTCACTGGGGGATTCTATATTATACTCCCAACACTTATATTACTTTTATTTTTATTACTTTTTATCTTAAGACAGGGCTTACTAGGTTGCCCAGGCTAGCCCTGAACTTGTGATCCTCCTACCTCAGTCTCTCCGGTAGATGAGATAACAGTTCTGTTCACCAGCTCCAGCTGTCATGCACTTCTTCAAGGATATAGAAGTCCCCAAAAGTATGCGTATATGACAGGGAAATGGCCCAGACATCCACAGGACTATGCATGAGTTGTTCACTGATGGGATATTGGGGGTTTCCAACTGTGAGCACACCTGTGTATGCACTGTCTACTCAGGAGCCTGTTGTGAACTTGGCTTTGTGTGTATATGGGTCATGTGTCCATTTGTTTCTGTAACAGGGAACTAGAGTCTGTGCGTGATGGGATGACATATGCTTGGTATTGTGAGTGTACCCTCACTGTGTGGTTCCATCTCTCATGTGTGAGAAAAAGGGGTGTGAGGACTCGGGGTGAGTGCATATGTATTCATTGTCTGATTGAATATATTGGGGAAGGAGCCTTGTGGTCTTCATCACACAGATGAGCAAGGCTGCAACCTCCACTACCCCACACTGCCTACAGCTGTCTCTGAACATGGATCCCCCCATGACCTTGACCCTGAGCAGCTCTCGAATCCCCCTCCTTGGGCAGCAGACCTCAGAGGCCCGTGTCATCCGAGTCAGCATCGACAATAACCATGGGAACTTGTATCGGAGCATCTTGGTGAGGGGCTGGGAGGGGACAGCCTTGACTTTGGATCTGAGATCCTGTCTCCTTACCACCTAACCCTCTTCTTCTAAAAGTTTTAATTACATTTATGTAGTGTGTGTGTGTGTGTGTGTGTGTGTGTGTGTGTGTGTGTGTGTGGGGGAGATGAGACTGCTTGCAGGAATTGGTTCTCTCCTCCCACCAGGTTGTCACTTGGAGTAATCTTTACCTGGTGAACCATCACACTGGACCTTTCTGTCCTTTTTTTTCTAGCTCACTTGTCAGGACAAAGCCCCCAGTGTGGTGCAGAGAGCCCTGGAGAAGCACAATGTGCCTCAGCCCTGGGCCCGTGACTACCAGCTCTTCCAGGTCCTGCCTGGGGACAGAGGTAAGCAGGGACAGCTTGCAGGCAGAGCTGGGCTTGGTACCAGTGGGGTGAGCAGCAGTCACTGCTATGACAAAAGCCCTGACAAAGTAGCTGAAGAGAGGAAGGCTTTATTTTGGCTCATAGTTCCAGAGCTAGAGTCCATTGTGGCAGGGAGAGCATGGAGAAGCTTGAGGCTGCTCTTCACACTCCCCTGCAGCTAGGAAATGGGGGTGGGGCTGGGGGGTACAGGGGATGGGTGCTGATGCTCATCTTTCTTTCTCCTTTAAAAACCTTTTTAATTTTTATTTATCTTCATTTTTGAGTAGGGCTGTATAGTAGTGGCCCACACCTTTAATCCCAGCACTTGGGAGGCAGAAGCAGGCAGATAGCTGAGTTTGAAGTCAGAGTGAGTGGTCTACAGAGTGAGTTCCAGCACAGTCAGGGCTGTTACACAGAGAAACCCTGTCTCAGAAAACAAACAAAACCCCCCTCATTTTTGGGTAGGGAACATACGTCCCATAGTACATATGTGGAGGTCAGAAAGCAACTTGAGGGAGTTCATTCTCTCCTTCTCATGTGGGCTCTAGAGATTCGTTCCGGTTGTCAGGCTACAGAGTAAACCCAAGGCTAGTCTGAACAGTTGAGTGAGACTTGTCTTAAAGAGAAAGAGCTGGAGGCAGTTGCATGGGCTGTGATCCTAACTGCTCAAGAGGCTAACAAGAAGGTCCAAGTTCAAAGTCTCCCTGGAACCAGGTATGGTGGCTCACACCTGTATTCCTGGCATCTTGGAGAGTGAGGGGGAAGGATTGTTCTGAGTCAGAGGCCATCCTACGCTGCAGAACAAGGTCTAGATCAGCATGGACAACTTACTGAGACCCTGTTTCTAAAGAAAATAGAGGTCTGGAATGTGGCTCAGCTGCTAGAGAGCTCAGCTAACACCCTTGGAATTCTGGACTTGGTTCCAGCATAAACCAGGCATGTTGGTGACACCTGTAACTCCAGCACTCGGGAGGTAGAGGCAGGAGAATCAGGAGCTCAACGTCATCCTCACCCACATAGAGTAGGAAGCCTGCCTAAGCTATATCAGACCCTGCCACAAAAACAATAACAACCAAAGTCACAGGAAAAAAGCTGGCTGGGGATGTAGTTCAGTGATGACTGCTTACCTTACATAGTCAAGGCCTGTACTTTGGAGAAACGGCTGAGGATGTAATTTACTTGCCTAGTATGTGTAAGGCTGGGTGTAAAGCCCAGTGCCGACGTGCATGTGAGACAGGTATATTATGCATGTAAATATTCACACATATATAATACTATTAGTTATTTTTCTGTTGTTGTAATAACCACCATGACAAAGGCAACATATAGAAGGAAGTTTATTTGGGCTCATGGTTCCAGAGGGTGAGAGTCCACGACTGGATGTTGAGAGCTGAAGCCGATGGTTCACATCTTGAATGGTGAACACAAAGCAGAGAGTCTGAACTTGAAATGGCTCATGTCTTTACACTCTCAAAGCCCACCCCCAGTGATATACTTCTTCCAACAAAGCCACATTCCTCAAGACTCTCAAAACAATGACACCAATCTGGGGCTCTTCAAGACTCTAAGGGACACCCCAGTTTCATCCACTGCCACCCACACGCACAAAGAGCTGTTCAAGTGTTGAGTGTGAAAGCCCTTAGCTTAACAGGCTGGAGTGGAAGAGTGGTGAAAGTCGTCTGAGTTCATTGTCACAGCAGACTGAGCTTTCCTGGGTAGTGGTTTGGGAGAGGCTGGGTGTGGGAGAAGCCATTTGAATGATAGAGCTCCCAGACTTTCAGGCCACCCATCCTGGTCCCCATTTCCATGCAGAGCTCCTGATTCCGGACAGTGCCAATGTCTTCTATGCAATGAGCCCAGCTGCCCCTGGTGACTTCTTGCTGCGTCGAAAAGAGGGGACACGGCATAGAACTTCAGCCTCCCCAACCTGAGGCAGTGCTCACCTCACTCTGGGGCACAGGCACCATGGACAGTTTGGAACCTGGCTTCTACCACCATCAATGTAGGGGGCTCATTTCCTGAAGACCCTCCATCCCCCAATGGAAGCCATTTTGCTCTATATCCTGGGACCTCCCCAGCATTAGCCCATAGGACCCCATCTCTCTGACTCCCTGGGCACTTAACTATTATCCCCAAAACATGGATGTGTGAGAAGAGTATAAAACACAAAAATCAAGAGCCTTCAGAGCTGGGAGCTTAGCTCAGCCGCAGAGCACTTGGCCAGCATGCCAACCCTGGATGGCTTTCAGCACTCCCCCAAATAAAAGTCCTAAGGAGTTTTGGACTATAGGATGTAGTTCAGTTGGACCCTGATGTGTGGCAGGCAGGGCTCTGAGACCCAGCGCTGAGTATAGCCAGCATATTGGCACATGCCCATAACCCCAGTGCTTGGGAGGTGCAGGCAGGAGGATCAGGAGTTTGTCATCCTTGGTTACATAGTGAGTTGAAGGCAAACCTAGGCTACATCATGAAACCTCGTTAAAAACAAAACAACAACAACAAAAAACTAAGAAAAGGTTGAAAAAGTCCTAACCAGAGTTCAGGGGTTTCTCCCCCTTAGCTTCAGAAGGTGCTGTCTGCTTTTCTGTCACATGCGTGAATAAATAAATGGGAAGAGGGAAGAAGTTAGTCAGCTCCTGCAAATTCAGGCAGTGAAACACAGCATGGCAGTGTGTGCCTATCACCCTAACCCTGGAGGTGGAGGCAGGAGGATCATGAGTTCAAGGTCATTTTCAGCTGTAGTGTGAGTTCCAGACCTGCCTGGGACATCACTCCTTGTTTTGAATAAGTGAAGAGAGGCCGAGTAGATGGACTGGACTTGGAGCTAACCTCAAAATAGTATCAAGGACAGCAGCAGCACACTGACTTCTGGGTTTCTTCTGTGAACTAGACCTCAGGGGGTTCTAGGTCTCGCTGAGTTCGTTTGGTTTCAAGGGAACTGTGCAATGGCTTAGTGGGGAAACCTTAATTCAGATCACTGGTACCCACAGAAACCAAGGGCATGGTGGGGTGTGTCTATAATCCCAACTGTAGGAAGTGGAGGGAGACAGGTCCCAGGGGTTCACTGGCCAGTCATTCCAGTGTGAGACCCCGTCTCAATAATGTTGAGGGGCCATAGAGATGTCCCAGTGGGTAAAGGTGCTTGCCAGGCAAGCCTGGTGACCTAATCCCAGATCCATGTAAAAGAGAAAACTGACTCCACAAAGCTGTCTTCTGACCTACATGTGTGCCACAAGACATGTGCTCCCAACACACATCTTATATACACAAAACAAGTAAACAAGTAACATCAACCTCTGGCCACTGTGTGAGTATGCAAGAGTGAGCACACACATACACATAACACACACACACACACACACACACACACACACACACACACACACACACACACACACACAAATACTATTGAAATGGGCACTTACCAAAAAAAAAAATGGTATCTCTTATAGTGAAAAGTCCAATAAGGGCCAGGCAGTAGTGGCAACACTCGGGAAGCAGAGGCAGGAAGATCTCTTCAAGATCAGGTCAGCCTGGTCTACAGATCGAATTCTAGGACAGCCAGGATACACAGAGAGACCCTGTCTTGAAAAAAAAAAAAACAGGGAGAGAGGGAGGGAAGGAGGAAGGGAGAGAGAGAGAGAGAGAGAGAGAGAGAGAGAGAGAGAGAGAGAGAGGAGAGAAAGAAGTCCAATAAGAGGCTGCCGAGTTCGCTCAGTGATTAAGAGCACTTGTTACAAAGGATCTAGTTCAATTCCCAGCACCCACAGGAGGCTCACCACTTCCTCGGCACTAGGCACAGATGTGGTTTTCAGACATACACACAAAATAATAAAATAAATCTTTAAAAAGGAACAGTTTAATAAGCTCTGCAGCCATATGCTTGATCTCATCTGAAGGTCCAGTAAGTCTGGCTTTAGGTACAGCAAATTCGGGGACTCAAATGACATCCTCAGGATTTTGTTGTTTTTTTGACTCTGATTTACTCTGAGAATAAGATTGTCTGTTCTCCCTCAAATCCACTCACTTCCTACAGAATAGAGCCACTGATCTTCAGCCACTCCAGTAAAAGCCACAGATATGCTTGTCACTCCAGCCTCAGAAAGCCAAAGGAAGATGGCCTTAAGGCCAACCCGAGTTACTTAAGCGACCCTGTGTCCAAACATGAACACTTTCCCTTGTACATGGTAGGCAAGTGTTCTACCATTGAGTTACAACAAAAAAAGGTTGTTTTGCCTAACTCTCCTGTAGCACATATAGTCACATGATTAATTCTTGGCCAATGAGAGATACAATGACGGGAAGTTGGCCAATTCCAAGGGATACTCTTAAATGGGAGGGGTGAGTTTTCCCTTTCCACATTTCCTGCTTTCTGCTGGTATAAGACAGGAGGTGACCAGTATGGTTGAGAATCACATCCTCTGAATAACTGAGCAACAAGTAGGAAGGCATCTGGGCCCCTAGAGCCAAACACCTGCTGTGTAGTTTGCTGTCACTTGGAGAGTAATGTCAGAAATAAATAGCTGTCTCTTCCTGTTATCTCTTGGTTTTGTCATAACGGGTGGTGGAGCACACCCTTTAATCCCAACACTAAGGCAGAGGCAGGAGAACTTCTGAGTTTGAGTGCAACACGATTAATAGATGAAGCCAGGCATACACCTTTAATCCCAGGCTTTGAGAGACATAAAAGGTAGTGGCATTCAGTCTGAGAATGAGTCTCTAGCCACATTGTGGAGAGCATAGCAGTCTGACTGAATGTGAAGAGCAGTGAAGTAGGGAGCAGTCTGAGGATCATCCCTTTGATCTGAGCTGAGGTAGAGGTAAGAGCTAGTGGCCGGTTGCTTTGCTTTTCTGATCTTCAGCTTGAAGCTTGAACCAAAATATCTATTTTATTCTATTTTATTATTATTATTATTATTATTATTATTATTATTTGGTTTTTCCAGACAGGGTTTCTCTGTGTAGCTTTGGAGCCTATCCTGGCACTCTCTCTGGAGACCAGGCTGGCCTCGAACTCACAGAGATCCACCTGCCTCTGCTTCCCGAGTGCTCGGACTAAAGGCATGTGCCACCAATGCCTGGCTTCTTTCACTAATGTTAACTCCTTAAGACAATTTGTAACAGACTGGAGAGATGATTCGGAGGTTAAGAGCACTGGCTGCTTTTCCAAAGGTCCTGAGTTCTATTCCCAGCAACCACATGGTGGCTCACAACTATCTATAATTTGACCTGGTGCCCTCTTCTGGTGCACAGGCAGATTTAAGATTTAATAAATCTTAAAAAAAAAAAAAAAAAAGACCGTTTGAAACTAGCTTGAGAGTGTTCTCCCCGCCCCATACCCATTTCCAGGCCAGGCATGGTGGCACATACCTGCAATCACAGCTTGGGATGGGGAAAAGGAACAGAAGTAGGAAGATCTGTGTGAGTTTAAGCCTTTGATACATAACCAAACTGTCTCCAACAAGTTTTTTAAAAACATATACAAACACCCCAAAAGCCCATTTCCTGAGAAAGATGGTCACACTGATATCTGTCTTTTGTTGTTGTTTTATATGTTTGATCATTTTGCCTGTATTTACATATGTGCACATGTGTACAATGTCCTTGGAGACCAGAAGAGGGTGTTGGATCCCCTGGAACTGGAGTTACAGACAGCTGTGAGGCACTGTGTGGGTGCTGGGAATCCAAACCAGGTTCTCTGCAAGAGCAGCAGGTTCTCTTACATACTTATGTATGTATGTATGTATGTATGTATGTATGTATGTATGTATCTACCTATCTATCCATGTATGTATGTCCTTATCCATACATGTAATCTGTATTTATTTCCATGTATTGTGTATTCATACATGTATCTATCCATGTATATATGTATGCATCCACCTGTCTCTCTATCTATCTTGGTGGTGCTGGGGTAAACCAAGGGTTTCCACCTGCTAGGCAAGTGCTACACCACTGAGCTTTACTCCATCCAACTTGGGTTTTTTTTGTTGTTGTTGTTTTTGTTTTGTATAGGAAGCTAGGTGTGGTGGCACAGGTCTGTGATCTCCGAATTAATCAGGAACCTGAGACAAAAGGATTGCCACAATTCCAGGACAGTCTGGGCAATTTAGTGACACCTTGTGTCAAAAAAGCAAAACCATACTGGGGCTGTAGCCCAGTTGTAGAGCGCTTGCCCAGCATTCTTGAGGCTCTGGGTTCCATTTCAGCACCACACAGACTGGAGACGGTGGTGCATGTCTGCCGTCCAACACAAAGGAAGTGGAGGCAGGAGGACAGAAGTTCAAGACCATTGTTAGTTATACAGTGAATTTGAGGTCAGCTTGGGATACAATGAGACCTTGTCTCAAACAAAACAAAACAAAACAAAATCAGGGCTGGTGAGATGGCTCAGTAAGTAAAGGTCTCTTCTGCTAAGCGTAAAGACCTGAGCTCCATGCTGGGACCCCATGGTAGGAGAGAGAGAGGTGACTCCCCAAGTTGTTCTGTGCCATATGTTCCCTGTTGCATTTGAGCACACACACACACACACACAAAAAAAAACCAAACACACACAGAGAGAGAGAGAGAGACACACACACAACACACACACACACCAAATGTTTACTATTTTTAAAATCGTAAATGATATGTTCCCAAATCTGTGTAATCCACTAACAAAAAACACCATAACATGTTGTTTGTCAAAGAGCACGGCTGGTCCCGCTCATACGCCACTTGGTAGTCATCTTTATGATTCTTATTTCAAACCGTGCTGAGGAGGCATAGCTTCCATCTGTGTAGTACTCGGCTGTGCAGCAGGCTAGATTTACAGATGCCTTGACTATACGGGGAGAAGG